GGGATCCTTCCTAGTTTTTTTTGTTGTTTTTTTTCTATTCTGTTCTTGTTTTTAGCTCTTCCTTTTCTCTCTCCCTCCTGTCTTCTTCACCAGATTGTCAAAGTTTGTGCCTGGCAAGCACAAGGTCGTGAGTTCGGTTCCCGGTACCAGAGAAAAACACACACACACACACACAAAAAAAAAAAAAAAAAAAAATTTTCCAGGATATCCAGCCAATTACTTTTTACCTAGCATTATGGAAACATTTTCACTGATGCCTACAAGCATTTCCTTTCCTAGTTCTATGTCCTCATTTCTCCCTAAATATTATAGTAAGCATCTATCTCTCAAAGAGTTTGCTGCTCTCAATCAGTGTCAGGAAGATGACTTTGTAGCCCAGGTATTCCCCAGCATCCCAGTTACAATGGCTGTGATTTAACCCTTGCATCCTAAGTTTCCTTATTTGCAGTTACTTACCTTACAATGTGGTTATAAAGATTAGGCAGGTGAATGACTTGAAAATTACAGAGCAGTGTCAAGCACAAAGTAAAAGCTCAGAGTCTCAGTTTTTCCATCAAACCAAACAGTATCCTCCTAACAGGGATTACCATGGAAAACCAAGTCAAAGTTAAATGGAGGCATTATATATACGCAGGAACACTGCTTTACTAACTTTTTACGTAGAGATAATTTGTGAATGCAAAGCTAAGACAAACCCAGGGCCTCATCATACATGCAAGACAAGTGTTCTACACTAAGCTACTGAATACTGTATATGTGTGAATCTACTTATTCGTATTAATATTTGTCTAACTAGTTATTCAGACTTTCTAAATTTTCAATAGTGCTGTATAATTTTATAACATAAATGAACACTTCAGGGTTGTAGTTTTAAATAAATTTTTTACCTAGCATAAAAAATTCTAAGTTCCAAGTAAAATTTACCTCACAATGATTAGGAAAAATCTATTCTTTTTTGTCTTTTTGGGACAGGGTCTCGCTATGCAGTTCAGGCTGGCCTTGAGCTCACTTTGTGGCCCAGGCTGGCTTCCATCTCAGTCTCCCAAGTACTGGGATTACAGGCGTGCACCACCATGCCCGGCCCAGGGAAAATGTATTCAGAAACAATACATATAAATTTATGGTGCTTTCCAAATATTACTAGCAAATAAGTTATTTTTGTAACATTAAATCTTGCATATCCTCATGTGCAGGAAGCAAAATTTGGGGCTCTGGACGTGGCTCAGTGGTAGAGTTCTTGCCTTCCACGCAAAAGGCCTTGTACTCAATTCCCAGATGCACCAAAAAAAAGAAAGTGTAAAATCAACGATTCTTATATCCTAAAGATACAAAACATTTCTTAAACATTCTATAAATATGAACTATGGGTTGATAACTTTTAAATTTTAGTAATATAATTCAATAATGTATAAAAGTAGAGCTTTGTAAAAATACTCCATTTATCATAAATCAAAAACCTCTGAAAAACAAACTGAAAACTTTTTGGTTTTTTTTGAGACAGGCTCTTACTATGTGGTTTAGGCTGGCCTTGAACTCAAAGTGATCCGCCTACTTTCCAAGTGCTAGGAGTACAGGTTTTTGCCACCATGCCTGGCTACAAACACATTTTACAAGAAATTCTTAGCCACAGCAATTATAAAAGCAACAACTATGTTAATGAAGTTACTTGGTTTTAAAAAAAATCAAAGCAAAAATGGAAGCAGTATAATGTAAAATTCAGATACTATAAAGATACAGTTTTGAGTTTCTTAATAAATGGTACTAAATATTCTCAGAAATAAGGCACTGTATATAATTTAAAATACTGAGATAGAGCTCTAAAAAAATAAGCAGATGAACACTGATATATAGAAATAATGGTAAAAATATGATTTTATATAAAATGTACTACTTTTCAAGTATATTAAGGCTTTTTATTTATTTTTTCTTCCCCAGGACTGGGATTAAACCCATGGCTTTTGAACTGTGTTATGTTTCTAGCCCTTTAAATTGTGAGATAAGTTCCCGGTACTGGAGAAAAACCAAAAAAAAAAAAAAAAAACCATAAATTGTGAGATAAGTTCTTGCTAAGTCACTAGGTTGCTCAGGCTAGGCTCAAACTTAGTTTTGCCTTAGCCTTGAAGAGTATAAGATTTAATATGAATAGTTTTCCATAGTGAATGGTGCACATCATAATTTTTAATGAAGTAGGTTCAAACCACTCAAAATCCAGTATTTTTAAAGTTAGTAAGATATAGGATACAATTTCATGTCAACTTATCTATTCTGTTCTATTCAATAAAAATAAAAGCTTCTTTGAGCTCAGCAGGCAGTACATCCTTTGAATCTTTGATTACTATATAAATGTACTTTTGGGATTTCAGAATGTTGTTGTTTGAACTAGTACCCTACTGGGAACTGGCCCAAGTTTCCACAGAAGACACAAAAGAGACAATGATATCAAACATATAAAGGCATAATTACTTTTTACATGAAAAATGCTTTAGAGTAAGAATAGTTTTTGTTAAAGTTGGTATTACTATAACTAATACTCAACACCCAAGGAGAATTCTAAATTGATTCTATTTTAGCCATTTTCTTTGAGAAGTAATTTTCTATAACAATGTAAATAAAAAAAGGTCCATCCTAAATCTTTTTACATTCCCTTCCCTTCCCACCCCGGGAAAGGGGATCTACAGATGGAGGGCGGGAGGTGGCAGGAATGGGAAGGAGGCTAAAACAATCAAGATATGTACGTGTACCAACTGCCTAACACAAACATAAACTTCAGGTACTATAAACACATACTAAGAAAATAAAACATTTTTAAAAGGTCCATAAAATGGTGATATTAGACACATAATTTGTGGTATAGGCCCTTAAACTGAGACCAAATCTTTATTAATCTAAACCTAGAAAGATATTATTTCTTCCACATGCCCAGAAGTAACTAATATCAACTCAGATTTTTGTAAGCCTTGAAGAGTTTTTATTTAACATAATGAGAGATATAATAACTTATATTAAAGACTATATAGTACTCTTCAGTTTTCACCAACTGTTTTTATGACGATAACTTCGAGATCTGGAATGTGACCGAAAATGAGAATGTTTTGCTGTTTGTGCTTTAGTTTCAGAATTGGTATACCCTTTGGGAGATTTACAGGGGGATCTTGCTATGGAGTCAGAGTGTCTTCCATGTGATCTTGATTTTGCTCCGGAACTAGTCTGCTTTTGAGGTGAACTTGATTGTGATTTTCCTATTGACTTGGACCTTTTTTGTAAGGACTTGGACCTTGACCGTCCTCTAGAACCAGAATTTCTTCTTGGAGTTCTTGACTGCCGTGCTGAGGTAGACCGCCTTGGTAGTGACTTGGAACGAGATTTAGACTGGCTATAAGAGAATCGCCTGTGTCGAGACCTGCAAATATCCATATAGTTAGAGCAGATATTTCATACAAAGCAGTAAGTTAAGAAGAAACATTTCCAGGAACTTACATGCTTTATATAATAGTTATGATTTTATAAGAGAAGCTACAAGTAGCATTGTTTCCTGGGGAATGAATGCAGGGCCTTGTACCTGCCAGGCAAGTGCCCTACCACAAGAAGTAACTCTGTTTTTATTATACATTTATTTGGTTCAAACATAAGTAACAAGTTTATAATATTCGTTATAGTCAAATATATGGCTAAGATTTTTACTTTGCTTGATATATTTTATAAGTCAGTTCTGAAAATGTGCTCCATACTTCGTCTAGGTTAAACAGCACTTCAGAAATACAAAAATCTGAAGAAAGAAGATTAAAAATAGAGACAGAAAACAGTTATTTAAAATTTATCAAATAATACTCAAAACCAAAACCAAAACTGGGCATGGTTGTACAAAATCCCTATAATCCTAGAACTTGGGAGGCTGAAGCACGAGGATTCTGAGTCCAAGGCCTAGGCTACTTACATAGCAAAATCAAGACCAGCTTGGACTACATAAAGACTCTGTCTCAAAAAAACAAACAACCCCCCGCAAAGAACAAAATAAAAAAGACCTAAATGCAGGACTTTTGGGCCATGCCATGAAAGAACAACTGGTACTAATCATCCCACACAAAACATTTATATAAAGTTACACAACAATTAAAAATATTGTTTGAAAGCACTGGAGAGTAAGAAAAGCAGAACTTCTGGGGTTACAAACCTTGGCTTCTTTATCAAGCCATTTTCTACATGACATCATGGGGAAATTGAGCCCCCAAATAGCTGTTTCACTAAATGGAAGGGACAAACACACACACAAAAAAAACTGAGGGCCACATCAATGGCTGGGCGACGAATTTCTCTCCCAGAAACGAGAGAACTGTAGCCAAGCAGAACGCCTAGTATCTGCCTGCCCACAAATGTTCCATAAGTCTTTGGCTGTCTTTAAGTTGTAAGTATACAGAACAAGATGCCAGCAAAAAACAGCAACTTGGAAGTCCAAGAAGTGAAGTGAATTTTTATCAGATACTGCTGAGAAGGTAGGCTAGAGTTCAATCTGCTAAGACCAAAGATCCCTGGACAATGATCCAGAGTTTCAATAATCACCTAGAAGGGACACATCCTAGAGGTAAGGGCCATGTTATAGGAAACAGATCAGTTTTAATAACACCCAAATCACACCTTTAATAGGATGAAGGTGATCTACCAGTATTCTTGTCTATAAGAAAAAAATTTCCTTTGGAGGATGATTACATCCTCCAAAGCCTCTATGAATTTTTCATCGACAATATCTGACATCCAAATTTTTAAAGATAAGGTATTTGGAAAAAATAGGCAAACGTGACTAAAAGTAAGGAAAATAAAAGACAGAAGAAGAGGAGAAAGTTGTTCAGATTACCAGCTATAGGCATGCAAAACTGATAAAAAAATTAAGCATTAACTATTCCTTTCAATAAACCAACAGAAATTAGTAGTATAATTATCTTAGTTATCTTGTGTGTAATATATATATATATATACACACATATATATATATATTTCCCGTCTTTCTTTAAAGATAACAATATGCAATATAACAACTATGTTGTTTTCCTATCATCTTGTTTTGAAATTGTGTATCATTTTTAATGTTTTTTATTTTTTATTCTCTTTAAAATAATTTAGATTTTCTTTTGGTCTTCTGGAGGCAGGATTTCGCTATTCAGTTCAGGCTGGCTTTAAACTTTCTTTGCAGCCCGGGCTGGCCTCAAACTTACAGGGATCTTCCTGCCTCAACTTCCCAAGTGCTGGGATTACAGGTATGTGCCACCAGACCTGGCTAAAAAAAAATTTCCAGAAAAAGAGGAAGATGAAGAGGAGGGGAAAAAAGAAACAGAATCAAAGTAATCTGAGTATTAACACAGAAATTTTTAAAATTACTATGACTAACATGTTCAAAGAAGAAAACAGACAAAATGCACAACGATGGAGAATTTCCATGGAAAACTGGAATCCATAAAAAGAAACAAATAGACATTTAGAACTGAAAATATATCTAGAATTAAAAAGTCATTGAATATCAATGAAAAAGAGCAGAGGAAACAGAAACAGAGCAAAGAGAAACACTCCCAGCTATTTAATCTTCAACAAAGGTGCCAGAAACATACATTAGGGGAAAGACAGCCTATCTAACAAATGGTGCTGGGAAGACTGGCGATCTATCTGCAGAAGACTGAAGCTTGACCCGTATCTTTATGGTGCACAGTACTAAACTAAAGTCAGAATGAATCAAAGATCTAAGCATTCAAACAGAAACAATAAACCTACTGGAAGATGTAACACTTGAAGTCATAGGTGTAGGCAAGAACTTTCTGAACAGAGCTCCAATTGTAAAAGAAATATTAACAAGGATGAAGAAATGGGATTATATCACATTAAAAAGCTGCATAGCAAAGGAAATAATCGGCAAAGTGAAGAAGCAACCTACAGAATAGGAAAAAATTTTGCCAGCTGTTCCTCAGGCAAAGCATTAATATCTGGAGTGCTATAAAGAACTAGAAAAAAATCAAGACTATCTAAAATGGGACACAGTCAAAAAATGGGCAACTGAAATGAATAGCCACTTCTCAGAACAAGTATTAATGGCCCAGAAAACATATGAAAACTGTTTTACATATCTGACCATTAGAGAAATGCAAATTAAAACAACACTGTGATTTCATTTTATACCAGACAGAATGGTAGTTATCGAGAAATTAAATAATAAATGCCAGCAGAGCTGCAGTGAAAAAAAAATCCTTCTACAACGTTGGTGGGAATGTAAACTAGTACAACTACTTTAGAAATCAGTATGGAGGAGGCTGGGGATTTAGTTCAGCGGCACAGCGCCTGCCTGGCAAGTGCAAGGTCATGAGTTCGATTCCTGGTACCGGAAAAAAGCCAAAGCCAAAAACAAAGAAATCAGTATGGACATTTCTCAAAAAATTAAAAATAGAAATTCCATTTGCTGTTTCCCTTCTAGCTGTCTTCCCTAAAGAGATGAAGACATTATCACAATGATACATGTATACCGATGTTTACAGCAGCACAATGTCATAATAGCCAAATCCTGGAAGTAGTCTGTATGTCCATCAATAGATGAATGGATAAAGAAATGGATAAAGAAAATGTACCTATCCACAATGGAATACTATTTGGCTATAAAGAAGGATAAATTTGGTCATGTGTGAGCACTCAGGAGACGGAAACGGAACTGCCATGAGTTCAAGCCTCAACTACATAAATGAGACCCTGTCTCAAACAAAAAGCAAAAACAACCCCCCCTGCAAAAAGGATAAACTGAAGACATTTGCAGGAAAATGGATATACCTAGAAAATATAATGTTAGTGAAATAAACACACAAGCTTAAATATGATATGGTATCCTTCATTTAAGTAAAGCAAAGTGAATTTGGTAGAAGGAAACAGGAAGATATTTTGCAAATGGGAAGGAGTCCAAGAGACTAAGGAGAGATGGTGGGGGAAGGGAAGGAAAAAGAGAAGTAAAAAGATTTAAGATGTGTCATGTACATGTACCAAATACCCACAATGAATGTAAACGTTATATGTCATAAATACGAACTGAAAGTAACAGTATTAGCGATAATAATGAAAATGGGGAAAGAGGAGCTAGAGATGGAAGAAGGAAATGGGTGGAGACAGGAAGGGGAATAAAAAAAGAGTCAAAATACGTTATACACATGTACCTACTCCCTAACAGGAATGTAAACTTCATGTACTGCGAACATGTACTAATAAAAGAAAAAGTTTTTGAAGTCATTGGATAGATTTGATAGCAATCTGGACACACAGCAAAAGAAACAGTAAACTGGACTGAAGCACAGTGAAAGAAAAGGAATTTTAAGACATCCAGGGCAGAGCCTAAGAGATGTGCAGTACACAGTCACACCGCCAAGAGGAAAGGCTCAGTAAGGCAGAAGCAATATTTCAAGAGAGAATGGCTTAGGGTTTGCCCAAACAAAGACATCGGCTCACAGTTCAAAAAGCTCAATAAATCTCAGGTAGAATAAGTACAAATAAAACTCCAATAGTCAAGCTGCTGAAAACTAAAATCAAAGAGAAGATCTGGAAAAGCTTCCAGAAGAAAAGATTAGCTGGGAGCAATAATAATCTACAGCTGGCTGTGTATATCAGAAAAACAATGGACTGGCACTATGGGGGGTAAGAAGAAGAAGGAAAATATCAGTCACCCTAGATATGCAAAATAGTATCCCTCAAATATCCATGTAAAATAAAGATGTTTTCAGATAAACAGAAGTTGAGAATTCATTTCCAGTACACCTTTTCTATAAGAAATAATAAAAATTCCTCAAACTGAAGAAAAGTGATCCCAGACAAAAACAATGAACTAAAAGGAAGAATAACACTGGAAAGTAGAACTTCTTCCCTTGGTGCTGAGGACTGAACTCAGGGCCTCAAGTATGCCAGCCAAGTGGTCCCGTTAAGCTGTATCCTCTGCTCCACCCTCTTTTTGAGCTGGGGTTTCACTGAGTGCCCAGATTTGCCTCAGCCTCCTGAATGCCAGGGATTGCTGATGTGTACCTTAGTGCATGGCTGTGTGAATATAATTGCTATAAAATACATATTGGAATCAATGGACTTTTTAAAGGAATTACTGAATTTTACTCATACAGAAAACAAAATGGGAAACATGTCCTTGACAAAAAATACTAAATAAAAAAAGATGCTATATTTGGACTAGAGAAAAGAAGGCTGAGCAACAATTTGAACACTGTTCAAGAACATTCAGAGTTCAAATGTACACATTTACTGAAGTAAGTCAACAGCGTTTATGAAGTACTTACTGTGAGTTAGGGACTACCACTAAATACTGGGGCTAAAAATATGAAAAAGGTATAGAGAGCCACATGTGATGATGCATGCCCATAATCCTAGCACTTAGGAGGCTGAGGCAGGAAGGTCATATCAGCTTGGAGGCCAGGCTGGGCTCTACAGTGAGCTCAAGGCCAGTCGTAACTACACAGTGAGATCCCGCCTCACAGAACAAGAACAGTAAGTCTAAGAGTTGTTAGTCTAATGAAAGCAACAAACTAGGGGTTTTTTTTCTACATACATGAAGGCAGGGAGACTTACTTCATATATTGTCTACATTTGCAGTATACATTATATATATCTGTATCTCCTAATCCATACACATACATATATACACACAAATATGCATCTAGATCCTTACAAATACACTGAGAACTAATTTAAAATTTGTGATCTCTGTAATAGTTTTTAAAATGAGAAAAATGAGTTTAGGAGGTTAAGTGATGGTCTTAAGACTACTACAAAGCATACAGCCTGTCTTGAAAGATGTGGTCCTTCTATGCCTAACACTCCATGATGATTTGGATAATTAATCGTCACTTTTTTCTCTCCAAACAAGTGTTATAATTTTACTTCTAACAGAAGGCAGGAAATGATGTGAATATTCACCTTATTTAAATCAATCAGGAGAAAAAATTGGTTAACTAAGGCTCTAATTAATGTCATTAAAAAGAAATTCTCAGGCTGGGGATTTAGCTCAGTGGCAAAAGCACCTGCCTGGCATGCGCAAGGTCGTGAGTTCGGTT